CTTTGAGAAACGATGACACTTCTACAGAATTCGAGTATCCTCGTAGCTATTTCCATGATTTGTGTACATGATTGTGTGAATAAACTCTACCCTCTTCGGACAAAATTACCTAATATTATTCTTTAATTTGTTTGTTTATAATTAAGCACAAAGCTACACAATGGGCTATCTATGCTCTGCTCACCACGGGTATCGAGACCCGGATTCTAGCGTTTTAAGTCCGCAGACATGCCGCTGTGCCACTGGGGGGGGATTAGTTTTGATGTATAATAATAACCTAAACCATAATCATCAGGGTCGTCCCTCGGTGGGTCAGCGGTAAGTTTACGGATTTACAACACTAAAACCCAGGGTTCGATTCCCCCACCGTGAACACAGCATATAGCTCAGTGTGGGTTTGCGCTAAAACAAACCTTCAAAATAAGTTTATACACTATACTATACCAAATCTCTCTCTCTCACACACACACACACATAGAAAACAAACTGCTAATTTTTTTATTTTTTTTATCAACTACGATACAGTACCCTCACTCTCTTCAGATCCGTTTTGTAGTTTCAAATAATTAATCCAGCTACGGCAGCATTCAACACGTGTAGTGTGTTGGATTTCCGAAAATATCCACGTAGATACGATGTGAGCATTTCGAAGGTAGTCAGAATATCTTTCTTAGCTCACCTGTGATGCAGGAAGAACCTCCCGATATCGTTCAGGTAATCGAGTTTTTAATTGTGATTTATCTGCTATCGTGATGCTACGTGTTTGCCAAAGGATCACGACCGTCTCTACATAATACACGTACATGTACTAACGCGTGGCAACAATGTATGTAATAATATTTTAGTTACGAATTTTGTGCTCGGTATTGTTAGCTTCAATGTAACCGAAAAGACGAGTTGTTTGAAAAGCCATAATCATTGTTTGTTTAGATAATCATAAAATGTGTTTTGTTTATTGGTTGCACTGGGGGGTGGGGGTGTAGCACGTACAAAAAACATAATATTTTTAAGATACTAAGTGTCTATAGATTCAGGGGCTCGTTTGGTGAGGTTAAATCTACTTAATCTATTTCTAATTTACCTCTGAGAAAGGAAACTACCTCTCGAAAGTGCTTGGGCTGATTTCTTGTTTTGAGGAATCAATACCCATCCTTTTTTGCTAATAACAAATATAGCTTTCAAAAGTACAAGGTTTTTGTTACAAACATTGGATCACCAGCTGGTTTGAGTGTTCAATAAGTTTTATACGCGTAGTTGTCGTTTAAACATAAATTCACTGATGTCCAAAAACCGAATCGATAAAGCACGATAGAACCAGAGAGTAAATTTCAAATTTTTAACATAATTTGTTTCTATACTCAGGGCTGGAACGCGGGAAGTTCACAACAAGTTGGAGAAAAATAGGTAAGTTCTTGTTCCGTTATTGTGGAAAATTTTGTTGTTGTTTTTACAAGTGTAACACCTGAAATCCGTCACATTTTGTGGAACTTATTTTGTGTAGCTTAAGAGTACAGTTAAAGGTGGACAAGTTCATTCAAAAGAAAAAATAGACATTAAATTCCATTGCATCTAACCAAGAAACTTTACCTAACAAATATATTCTAAGAATTAGTGATTTATGAGTTAGGCCTACAAACCGGAAATCGAATTCGGCTCGCGTTGACGTTAGGTCAATAATATATCGAATGTTTAAATTCTTAAAATGAATAATTATATATTTAACTTAACCAATGTTTTCAGCCTTAATTTATGTTTCTGATTTACGTAGGATTAGATATCATTATTTTGTTGTATATACTACAGCTTTATAACAAATTCCGTATTATAGATTTTAGTTTTATTCTTTGAAAATGCTAGCTTTTTTTTTCAAATAATGATTTAGGAGAGCCCACCTAAAAGAATGTTTTGAAAATCTGAAGAAACAGCTTCCAAATATCGACGAGAGAAAAATTTCCAACCTGAGTATTCTCCGTGGAGCACTGAGATACATCCAGGTCAGGTATAATTTAAATTTTTCCACCCCTTGTGATACAGTGATTACAAACTATTCGAACCACGTTACGCGATCCATGTCACATTGGCTGAGGTGACGTCATTATGCTGCAGGCTCTTTATCTTACCGATTTTTCTCCCCGCGGTAAAGATATTGGGAATTGCTTCTCGCAATATTTTTATAGTACGTGTTTTCAGTATTGAATTTATGTTCTTCGAAACACTATGTTTCTTCAAACTTTTTTTCTAAAGATAAAAACCAAAATTACCAATTAACAGACTTGTGTTTATGGGTTAAAGAAATCACACGCACGTTACGTGACCAGATTTCCTGGGACCTTGCGGAGCGCATGCGTTGTGATGCCACGCGCTTGAACCACCTAGTGGCGCGACGATTGCGAGGATATTTCACAACAAAAACAAACTAAGACTCCGTAAATAACTTAGAGGAAAGGTTTCAAACAAGTTGTTTATGCTATCTAGTAGTAACTTAACTGAGAAAAATAAATACATTTAAAACATAGGCAATATTTTAAAAATAAATTTAGAAAAATAACTACCTTTAAATTCTGATGAATAATGAAAAAATTGTTTCAGCCAACTTTTCACCATTGCGGCTTCATATATCCCCGATGAAACCACAATGACGAAACGTTGGCTGAATTAAAGTTTGTTTTATTATTATCATCTCCAAAGGTTGTTTTTTTTTCTAACTCTATTGTCAAAATCCCCAAATTTTCCCGGTATATACTACAAATTTTAAAACTCGGAAAATATTGTTAGTACATTGTTCCCAATGTATAGTAATGAAAATGTTAATAAACGGATCATGCCATTTCTAATATCCTCAGTCTCCTCCTCGCGTATCTACTGGCTTGGTTAAGATAAATACTTGATCGTTTCAGTAACGAAGTGTGCAGTGCTTGTGCATAAGAGTATAAGATTGACACTTTATAATACACGATGAGTCGGTTGTATGATCGAGTGTTGATTTTGTTGAGTCCAACAGGATTCAGAGGCATGATTCATACAACTTTTTGTTTTTTAAGTCACGTGCGTTTTATTATTCGTGCAGCCAAAGCACACGTGCAGTTGGAGAAAACAACATGGTGATACACGTTGTTAGGCCGTCCAGTGGCGTAACTATGGGTCTCAAAGGGCCTTGGGGCAGTCGCTTCACCTGTTCCACAGCTTCTTCTTTCTGGTTAAATTTTCAGTTCTGCAATTTAATAATTTTAACAAAATGCACGATTTGTTTTTGAAAATTTACAATGTTTTTTTTTTTTTAACGAACTTTTAACAGTTTATATTCCATACACATATATAGAACTAGTAAGTAGAAGACAACTTTGTAATATTTAGTACTTATAAAAGGAAACATTTAGTTAAAACTGCATAGGCGACCAAAATATCAAAATTAAATAATACGGTGAACAATCGCCAAGTTTTTATTTTTATTTAAAGAAGGCTGACGTTTCGAGCTAGCGCTCTTCATCAGAAGATGTATGATCTGACGAAGAGCGCTAGCTAGAAAAGCCAGCCTTCTTTAAATAAAAATCTTGGCGACTGTTCAGTCTATTATTTAATTTTGTAATATTTAATACATCAATGGATTCAATGTAATTACCGTGTAGTCAACAAAAAATGTTTTTCAAGAGAACCTTGGCGAGAGAGAGGTTATGATCAACAGCTCTGGTTGGACGAATTAATCAGAAACCAACTGTCCATTTTTTTTTATTTGAATTATTTAAGTACAATATCCAGGAGAATTGTAATTTCAAAAGCCACAGGTTTACATTTGATAAGTATAGCGAAGTATAAATGTTATATGTGTTTTAATTTATGATTTTTTAAAAATTATCTTCTTAACTTTTTTGTTTTGAAAAGCATTTTTAAACTTGCATAAACTTTTATTTGCTAAATTAAGATTTTGGAATATGAACACTTCTAAATGTTAAACACTAATGGCGCTAGTGTTTAAGTTATGAAACAAATTCTCCTGTGATTGTACAAAATGTAAATAATATTACAAATGCAAGACATTTAGTTATATATTGCATCAGAACTTTTTTTTTCAAGTTAATCCAATGATTATTATTTTTATCATTAGACACTCAAGAAAAAAGAGCGAGAATATGAACACGAGATGGAACAACTAGCAAGAGAAAAAATTGCATCTCAGCAAAGACTAGCAGCACTGAAGAAAGATTTATCTGCTCATCTGGATCATGTCGACATAAATAACTTGCTACCAGATCCTGACAATGAAACAACAACTACAGCATCAGGTAACACAGAAAATAGAAAGTCATCCCTGATAACTGACTTGCCAATTGGTTTTGTAATATTTATATTGATAACATCATAGTTATTAACTTGTTACCAAATCCTGACAATGAAACAACAACTACAGCATCAGGTAACACAGAAAATAGTCATCCATGATAACTGACCTGCCACCTGGTGTTGTAATATTTATATTGATAACATCATAGTTATTAACTTGCTACCAGATCCTGACAATGAAACAACAACAACAGCATCAGGTAACACAGAAAATAGAAAGTCATCCTTGATAACTGACCTGCCACCTGGTGTTGTAATATTTATATTGATAACATCATAGTTATTAACTTGCTGCCAGATCCTGACAATGAAACAACAACTACAGCATCAGGTAACACAGAAAATAGAAAGTCATCCCCGATAACTGACCTGCCACCTGGTTTTGTAATATTTATATTGATAACATCATAGTTATTAACTTGCTACCAGATCCTGACAATGAAACAACAACTACAGCATCAGGTAACACAGAAAATAGAAAGTCATCCCCGATAACTGTCCTGCCACCTGGTGTTGTAATATTTATATTGATCCTGATTAACTTTGCAACTTTTTCTTTGTTTTTGATGCACAAATAGCTATAAAAAAAAAGGTTTGATGGTGGAATAGTTCAAAATTATTTATTTCATCATCAAGTTTGTAAATACTTTTCACAATTTAAGAACCTGGAAAATATAGACGTTCTGTCTTAAGGAGCAGTTTTTTTTAAACTAGCTTATTTAATTTTTTAATCATATAAGTTCACTTGAAAAAAAATATTAACTATATTTTCCCCAAGATGTTTGAAAAGATATTACTTGGTTCATTAACATTTAAATTCTCCATTAAATTTCTTATTCAACATAATATCTTGAAACTCGTATTGACTGCAGAACCATCAACTAGTTTATATTTTCTATAGAAAATGTACAATTTTGATTATATTATGCATATTTTGAAGTGGCTTATGTGTGTGTGTGTGTGTTAATACATAAAAGAAAACATTTACTGTCCAACGATTTTTAAGTATTGGTTTCTAACATCTTTATATAAAAAGAAATCGTAAATACAAACAACCGTTTATCTTTTGAAATCTTAGAAGCTGGAGAAAGTGATATTGAAGAAGATTCCAAAGTAGAGGAGACAGAAACAAGCTCCTTTTACAATTTTATTCAGTCATCAGAAACTTCTAACACCTCATCCACTCTTTTGTCCACACCAAGTAGCACACCACCCCAGAGCATGGGGATAACTAGTCCTTTATGTGTGGAGAAAAAACAGGGTAAATATTTATAGGATTTTTACGAGCTTGAAAAACTTGTAGCAGTGTTACTAAAAATTTAGTGGCCACAATTATTCTTAGACTTTACATTTATGCTTTAATACATATTAATTTTATAAACTCAATTATTGTACAATATAGATCATCAATCAGAATCCATAATGTATGCTTTTTTTTATATACTGATGTTTATATGTACAGTTTTAACATTTTCTTTGGAGCCTGATAAGAGATACTCGAATTTAAAAATAAGACTTGACTGAGATAAACGTATTAGTAACATTTGCATTTCAAAGATATTTTTCAAAGCTGAGGTCAAATTGAATGCAAGTAAAAATTATGATATTAAAGAAATTGCGTGATAAGTTCCTAGAAACTAGCTTTTAGCAGTTAACCAACGAATGTGCTCGTGTGTATATACACTGCTTATTAATAACAATGTATTTGTTAGGATTATTGATTGTAAATTGTGTGTAAAGGAAAAATAAATAAATTATTCTTTTATGTATTTGTGGTTTGATTTATTTCTTTTAAGTTAACAGGAATAAATAAACAGTTTTTAAAAGTATTTTTAAAGTCAATTTTGTATTGTTTCATTTTTATTTTTTACTAATCCTTCAGCAAAATATATTTGTTTCTTTGTATATATATATGTGTGTGGGTCTGCGTGTATGTATGTATATATATATATATATATATATATATTAAAGCGAGAAGGTTTTTTATTAAATTGTTAAAAACTAGAAAACGTACAACAATTTTAATGTTCGGATTTGCTACCTGAATGATAAGTAAATTTGAGATAAAAACATGGACCTAATACACTTCTTTATATTTTTTAATATTTGTGATAGATTAGAATACCTTTACTACTTAAACGTTCACTTTTTTCAAATATCTTATGCAAGTTAGATATTTTGTTGTCTTTAATGAGACGAAAGTGACTTTCATATGTAAATTTTTTTTTTCTTTTCTTATCGTTTGGCACAAAATCAGCACTTCCATTTAACCCACCAGAGGACTCTGGAGCTAAGACTACTGTAACTTTTCTGCAGACAACAACATCGGCAGCTTCTTTGGTGTCACCAGTTTCCATGACTCCAGGATTTACACCAAATGTATTTATTGGGGTGCCAAAAAAAAAGGATACAAAATCAGTTTTGGCTACTATGGCAACAAGAAAAAATACCACCGTAGCCTCAACCAGGCAGAAATGTTTGAGATCTCAAGAACATGTATGTATCGTTAAATCACATTTGTCTCTTTATCTTTAGATACTAGGCCTCAGTGATTGAGCATAGTTTGGCATGACAATAGGCCTGTACTAAGCCTAAAAATTACTGTATAGCTCAATTGGATTAGTTCTATCTAACAAACTTTATCTCCTGTAGTCCCGATTCAAAAATTATTTAAATCAAAAACATGTATCTGTATTATTGTTCTAAATCTAACAATAGCATTTTTTTTTGTCACTTCCGTAGAATAACTAGGAAGCCCAATACTAAAGTGTCTTAGAAATGTTTGAAGTGAATTTTTGCTATATGTGCTCCATTGAGATATGTTTTTTTGTTGTTGTTGTTATTTCTTTCTATTAGGGACCTTCAGATTCTGTGCTTAAATTGAACTCTGTCAATGCCACAGGTGTATTGGCTTCTGAATCAGTACAGATAGTGAATCAGTCTACAGTTTCGAAAATAAGCCAAGTACCACCACTGACCTCAACCAACATTATTACAAATGGACCCTTAAAAAATTTTACCAAGACAGTTCCTTCCATGATTGAAGGGCCTGTTGCCACTGGGTTTTCAGTTCCAAAACTAGTAACCTTACCAAATTCTAGCTTGAAGCCTGTTCTTAGCCATTCCTTGGTTTGTGTCACCCCTGGGCCACTGGCACAACCCCAGTCAGTCATCAGCCTGACTCCAGTGTCATCTACATCAAAATCAGTCATTATCAACAACCAGGCAGCTACAATATCCAATGAAGTGACTATGGCAACACCATCATTGGTGAATCATGTCACTGGAAAATCTGTAGCTATTCCTGCACCTGATACAACTGGAGCCAATTCAGTGATCACCACAAGAGGGATAGTTTGGACATCAGGGACAACAGTTATACCACAGCCAAACCTACAATTCATGAAGCCTATGCCCCAAATTCTACATCATACTGTAGCCCCAAGAACACACATAGTTCCATTAGGGGGTAAGTATAACCTTGTAGAATTTTTATTAATATTTTCAGTTGTTGTTGTTGTTTTTTCAGCTAATAATCTGATTTTTAAACATTATTTTGTTTTGTATGGTACAGTAGATGTGTATTTACTGAATTTGGCATTTCAAACAATGCCAAGTTAAAGAAGACTGATAATGCTTGGAGATGGCTTGAATGGGTAATGAAGAAAAAAATTTAATATAAGTTTAACATAACAGCAAATGTACAACGTTTCGACAAGGTTTTGTCATCATTGTTATGTTAAACTTATATTAAAGTTTTTCTTCATTACCCATTCAAGTCGTCTCCGAGCATTATTAGTCTCAAAGTGGGTTCCTCGTCATCGAATTTAAAGAAAACTGAGTTAGTGCTATAATAATCCAGTCAAAATAGCCAGGTAAACAAAAACAAAGTAGACAGGGAAGAAACTTAACCTGAAGGTTATCACGAAAGCACACAAAAACACCCATTTAAGGAAAAAGATTGAAGCACGTTGATCCTTGTTCTTTGGATGCTTGGAAGGAAAGAAATTGTCATCACACAGCTGAAAATTAATAGTTAATTGTTGTTTTTTTTGCATTTAATTCTTTCTAAAATGAACATAAAGAAAAATTAAAACTCGTAATATTCCTGAAATGACTATTAACCATGCATTAGTCTTCTGTAAATATTTTCCATAGTCACTTTTCCCTGGTCTGAGCAGACCCCATCATAAGAAATCAATGTAAAGATATTTAGATAGTTATAAATTATTATTTTGGAAACAAAATACACCAACACTCAAAATCTTTTCCTTTATTAATCAATAAATGGAAATTGAATATAACAACTTGTTTCTTTTTTTACCACCTAAACTAAGTGTAACAATTTAACACAAACTAGCCAAATACTGAAGCTACTGAGAACAACAAACGTTTACGTGCTGCCATCTGTCGGCGCCGATGTTTACAAAATATATGGGGTCCGTGAAGACCCGGAAGACTGACTAACTCAGGGTTAAAGGCATAAAAGTATAGATTCCTGTGAAACTAGCCTGTAGAAGGTAAACACACGTGATGTAAGTCGTCAAATGTCTTGGTTGATTCACTTCTTTCTTTTTTTTATTTTAATTACAATATTTCTAAACCTAGGTTTATTTTGATGTATGACAGAAGTTAATGTTATTATTTTTACAACAATCAGTTTGGAGGTATAATGTTATTAATTATTAGTCATGTCTAATTTGTTTGCACTAGTTTATTGCTTTTTTTTTTTGTTATTGTTAAGTTTCATATTCTACATTTTTAGCAGTTGTTTAAAACTTATAAAATCATTAATATTAGGTTCTCAAGTCAACAGCATGAAACACCACCTAGTCACTGCTGCCATTAAACCAGTTCATCAGACTGGCCAACCCAAGGCTCGTTTCTCTCACTTATCTAGCGTGGGTCATGTCACACATGTCATGCCATCTTCATCTGTTACTGCACCGGTAAGCCACTTGGTATCTGGTGCAACTGCCGTATCGGCAATAGCTCCCCTAGTAACTCCTATATCTGTGGTATCTCCCGGAGGACCAATGAACCAAGCCCAGCTCATTACCCAGCCACACCACCTGGGAAAGGTACTTGCCACAACACCACTTCTGAAGACATCTGACCAGATCCCAATTATCCAATCTCAATTTCTTCAACCCACTGTTGGCCTGGTCAAACCTGTTGTTATGGTCAGTGTACCTAGTGTAGGTAATGGAAGCCAGGTCGCAGTCACTGCTCAACAACAGGGAGTTAGCAGTGTGTCGATCTCACAGTAGAAACTGTTTGTGTTGGTCGTTTGTTAATAATTTGACTTTAGCATTGGAGTGGCCAAAAGTTAAAAATGTAAGAACCTGTTGAAACAGATCGACTAGAAGTTAGGGACATTTGTTATATGCCTGTACAAGGTTTGTTAGAATTACAATGTATATATATGTTTATATTAATGGACTTATACATGTGTTAGTTAATTTTAAATTCACTCTTTGTAAATATCTATGGTTCTTGTACCATAACATAGAATAATATAACATGGTATATATATTTTTTGGAGAAAAAAAAATTATCCTGGTATGTTGGTTGTTTGGGAGATTTGTGCTGTTTTTTTTTTCTATTCCGTTTATTTTATGTCTCTCTTGACTAGATGTACTTTTTTTTTGAACAGTTTTAATTTATTGAAGGAGAGCCAAGATGTAATTCCCTACCAAGCTGTGACATTTTTTAGCTGACCATGAAGAATAATGATTGTAGGACACATTTAAATCCGATTATTTTTATGAACAATTAGTTTTTATTGCAAATGATTGGCTCATCTTTCTTTCGCAGTTAAAATAAAAATATATTCAATACTAGTCAATGCTCGAAGTAAACTAATATATATATATGACTGCATATGAATGAGTGGGAAAAGGCTGCACATGCGACATATATATAGTTAAAACAAAAATAAAACATGAAATTGCACTGTTACAATTAATAAAAGGTAACTAATCACGAAAAGTTAACTAATAAATATAACCTTTATCCACTGTTTTAGGAAACCACAAGAACAATACATCTTCAACCCGGTATCCATAACAAAACACATCTCGCACTGTTCATTTCTAGACTGTAAGCATTTGAAATAAAATGGTGGGTGACTTACGAATATTAAGGTGTGATGAAACTGCACTGTGCGTAAACATTTAGTTTTGTTTATCCACTGCTTTTAGCTTCTCACTTCATTCTTAAAAAAACTGATTTCTGTGTTGTTTTACTTATACGACTATTGAACTAATATTAGTGTTATATCTATGACAACAACAGATTACATTTGTTAGTTAAGTATTCCTGAAAGTTGTACTGGCATATATGTAAAGCTCGTGATAAAGGCTAGTGTACACGTAGAGACACCTTGTATAATATAAAAGTTGTTGTAAACAGAAGAAAAATGTGTGTGTGTGTGTGTAGGGGAGGGGGGGGGGGCGGATAGTGGTTTGACCATTTTTGAAAACAGAAATAAGGGTTTGTTTAATATTGCTGTACAATATATGCTACTTGATAACGAATGAAGCGTACGTTCTAACTAGTTTCTACTACATAGAATGGGCTACAGTTTGCAATCCAGAAAGAGTATCACAGTATAATTTCTTTCTTGCATTATTCATTGTATATTTTCCATTATTCTATTATCATATTTATCAACTATTTGTAACATACTTTGTTATATGGGGTATCTGTTAAGTTAGAGGTGCTGGAACTAAGTGTGAAAAGTTAATTAGAATTTGTAAGCAAACAAAATGAATAAAAGTCCTGTAAGTAGGTTTTTTAGAGGTTGCCTTTTGCCATAGTGTTTTCCAGGTCATGAGTTGTATGGTATATCCTTCAAAAAATATGTCTTACAATGTTGTGACATTTGCACGCGATAGTTGCCTGTAATATAATGTATGATATCACACTGGTATGTATCCTGTTCTGAAACGGATATTATGTAGTACAGAGTTTTCTATAAATGTGTGATGTGAAATGTTTTTCATGTCAGACGTATCTGTGCAATGCATTATTAAATAGTTATCTCTATAATGTTTACTGGATTGTTGTTCTTCTAGCATTTTTTTTTTTATAAACTCGACACATTTTGACAGTACGACTTTCCACAAAAACTTGTAACTGACTAGGCACTCCCTTGCTATGATACTTCATTTTAGTTTTATAAAAAAAAATCAAACAGTAATATTGTGTGTATCAGGAGTAAAACATATACTAAAACTTGCAAAGTTACGTTTTTCTTTTCCTTTTCGCAATATGCATCATCTTACTTGCCAAAAATGTAATAATAAAATATGGTTAAAAAAAGATTTCGCTATTTGGAATTTTACTGGGTTTTTTTTCACAAACATTTGGTTTGAATTTAAAGACACAAATACTTAGTTAAATGAGTCAATTATTACCTTCTATAGAGCAAGTTATGCATTTAGCGTGGGGATTTAATAACAAAAGAAAGATGGAAGGGGAATATTAGCTAAAATCGTCCTTTATACAATTTTTCCTTCCTTATTGGTTATCTCAGCTAGTTGTTGTAAAGTTTTAGGTATGATAATACCCCATATCCTACCAATAATTTCCACTAATGTTTCGGCTGCTAGTTGAGCTTTATCTAAGGTAGAATACGAAACAAGTTAGGTGTGCCTAGTGAAACACAGTATTTTGACCTATTCAAATAAAATGATATTACATGTGGAATATTCTGTTTGAATATACAAAAGATTTATATAAAAATAGTAGAAATGATAGGATAGAACAATATACAGGCTAGTCAGGGGTTGCTACAAAATATTCAATAAGAGGTTTTAAAATATTAAACTTAAGAAAACTATTCAGAAAAAGTAATCTTTAAGTTTTAAGACCCTCATGCAAAATGGAATTAGATCTTAAAACTTATTTAACATTATACCATGTTTTTAGTTGAATGATATGAAACATTTTGTTTCAGTTAGTTTGGATCTTTTTCATTTTTTATACGAACCTGTGTCATTTCCCTAAGCATATTGAAATATTATAAACTTTTTTGTGTGTTGGCTTAAAATCCTGCATGAATAAAGTGATCATAAATTATTTTTAAGGCATAATGTATGCTTTGTGGCCAAGTGAAGCTTAGTGCTGGACTATGGATCCAAGGTCCCATGGTTTGCACCTCAAAAACAAAATCTTGCTCCCCATATTGAAGTCCTGGGTGCATTATAAGAGTGACAATCAAATTTCACTCTTTGATTAGAGTATCACACAAGTTGGCAAAGGATGCATGATGTTAACTAGCTGCCTTCCATCTAGTACATCATTTCAAAATTAGGGACTGCTAATACAGATAGCCCCTGGGAAGCTTTGTGCAAAATGCAACATAAGTGTGTGTGTATGTGTGTAGATATATATATGATTAATTCATTGTAGTTTTTAATAATTATCTTAATCTATTAATGATTTAGTTTTCTCTGTTTTGTAGGAATATGTTGAAGACGTCTCTGACAGTAATCTAATTTTATCTTACTTCCATATTTCAGAAATGTTATGGAAATAAAGTTACATTTCTTTCTTCTTTAATAATCTTTCTTAGACGAAACTAGACTAAAAGTTGTATTCTTTGATTAAAAATAAAATATAAAAGAAAAACATATTGGATGCTTCCTAATTCCTGTCCACGTCATTAAATTGAAAAATGTGAAAATACTGCTTCATATAGGGTATAACAGACAAAGAATTAATTATAAACATAAAAACGCCCTTAATGATGCATGAATGCTACCTGGAGATAACTGCTCTTCCATCTTCAAAACTAAAACCTATACACCATTGACTGTTATCAAAATATTAATAATACAAGAATAAAAAAACGGCTGGATATACAACAGATGAACATCATCTCATCTATACAATGAATGTAATAAGATCATTAAGACAATGCAGCATTAATTGTTAACAAGTACACATTTTAATAATAATTGCTAGATTTATATCTTCAAATATTGAGTGAAAGCTTACGCTATTGGTGTTTCAAATGTTAGTTTTCATTTTATTGCCACTAATGGTTATGTACTAATTTTGTTATGCGTACAAAATGTATACAATCTTGTTGCTGTACTTCAATGACAATAGATGCTAAACTTTGAAATTAACACATTCATAATAAGAACATTATTTTCAGCATTATTTTTCATTTCTAAGATATATTAAGTTAGAATAAATCCCTTATGTTGTATAGTGAAACACTGATTGTAACACATCACTATAGTGTACTTTAACAAATACAAAGTTTACAACAACAAATTAAGATGTGTACTGAAGCTAGAAACGTTTACTTTTCAATGCTGTAAAGAGTATGCAGACAAATTGAAATAAAAAAAAATATTAAATCAAAACAAGGACTTGATGGTTACAGCTACTTAACACTGATATAGTGTGGCACATTTTATCTTTCATGTTACTATAAATAAAAGAAATACAATAGTGGAAAGTTTTTTTTTACTTGGAAATTTAAAGATTTAGCACCTCAGTTACAATACTGGCAGCAGAGTAATGATGTGGATCACAGATTCAACCCCTGGTGGACATATTTCTTCACAGATAATAACAACATAGTACTTATTGGATTTAACAAAGTTAAATTAGCCTCTTTAAAAACAAACTATAGCATAATAACCCTCCATTCCACACTGTACAGTAAGATGAACTTTATTTCAAAATCACTTTAAGTTTTGAAATAACAAAATGATTTTATATTAATTTTCCGATTAGAATATTTTAACCTCGCCAGAGTTTATAATTGTTATTACTAAGTTTCAGTTATTTTCATAAATGTTGATAATAATTCTAAGTTCATAACAGGTAATTCCGTTTTTTATTTTTCTCTGCATTAGATTCAAACTTAATACCTCGTTGCACACGAACCAGATGTTCTTTCTATCAACCAAGATAAAAAATTAACAAACAAACAACAACTAGTAAGGCAGTTGTTTAAACATCTCAAAACAAAGACTTTAATCCTGAAGTAGACCCTCAAAGTTTAATGATCATAACTTTATAAATATCTTTACAATAAATCAGGTTTAAGAATATTTCAAGATTCCAACAAAACTATCTTGATGAGAAAAATTACCACACACGTTATTTAAATTTTGGTTATTATTAGAGATCACTTAAAACTTTGCTATTTATTTTTAAATCTAGCAATAATATTTTTTCAAATATAAAGATTACACAAAAGAGGTTAAAATTATCATTACAAATAATGTTTGAATCTTTTATTAAATATGTAATATTTAATAAGGATCTATAAACAAATTTACTCACTAAAGTAAATAAATTCAGCTGGATAAACCATTACCGGAAATAAGCGTAAAAAAATGGCTGCATGATTCCACATTTTCAAACTTTTGAAACAAGATGCTGCAATTTTTACATAAAACTATTTTAGTTTAATACTAACAACTACATTATATTAGAAAAACTGTAAATGGCTTTCAGCATGTTATTGCCTCTAATATTTGCACTTCAAAATGTCATTAACTATTAACTCCCGAATTACTTGTTTATGTATTGTCCACTATAGGTGGCTGTTCACGTATTGCACCATATTGAGTAATTTATATTTTTGCCTGCTACAGCATTCAGTGTAAAAATTGACCAAAGAAATTAGTGAAATTACTCATTTTCTACGTAATATACAAAGGAAATCCCAGCAATAATTAGGATTAATTGCAAATTTGATGGTATTTGGGGTTTAAAACAGTATGATATTAGGGATACTGTAACAACAAAAAATCATGGATCCACAAGCATAAACAGTTTTAAAAATTCAACGATTCACAGCGATCTAATTATCTGGTAGTAGGCAAAACTTATTTCAATCTTGCCATTTTTTTATATATCAGTTCAATGTTCTGTTTTGTTTTTAAATCTAATGAGGTTTATATCACATAGGTAATTCAACAATTCACAGTGATTTAATCATCTGGTAGTAAGCAGAACTTATTTCAATCTTGCCGCTTTTTTATATACACCAGTTCACTTAAGGTCTTTTTCATCTATTCGTTAAATTCAAAACCCATAATATTAATTAAATGTGTCAATGTATACCCTATATAAATAATAACAAACAATTATCGTGTTTTCTAAACATCATGGCTATACTCTAGCTTTACTACTGCCATTATTTTTTCTTCTTTATTTCGTTACTTCAAGTACTATAGTAATATTAATCAGACTCAAACTTAATAATAAAAAAAACAAAAACGTTGTAGCCTAAGAATCTTAAGGTTTTCACATACTAATGCAACAGGTTACATTTCAATGTAGTTATATTCCAGTAATCTGTGAAAAGGTTTTGCCAAATTAAACGAATTACGCCTATCCATCACCATTATTAGTTTACGAAAAATTATTATACACCCTAAACATATTATAATGTTAGGAAACGATTCTTAGTCTGGCCTTGAACTGTTTAATTTTCATGTTAATAAATTATACCATAAACAGCGTTGCAGTTGTAATTTTGAAGAAACCTAATGCAAAAATTATACCTGATGGTGCGATATGTACATTGTATCGTCTGATATCTTTTCTGGATAGGTCTAAGGATATTAGAAGTTAAATTTCAATTGAATTAAAGAAAAAAAAAACACGAGAAGATTTTCTTGCTTGTTGGATGAGAAATAACCTTGATATGCCTAAAAACCTTCTCTCGTCTCGTTTTTTTTTCTTATTATTATTTTATGTTAAGCTATTGAGGGAAAATACTACTTTGATGCTTGAAACCGTTAAATGGGCTGACAGATGCAATCAAGATCTTTCATTTCAACATTTCGTTAATAGCATGTTATACATTGTACAACCTCCAGCTTCACATATACTGCACTAGTAGTAGCCACTTTGCTGACAAAGCAATGAACTACATTATAACACGTGTCATTATAGCCTCGAGAAAAATAAGTGTAATATGAATTATGCAGAAGATACTGTTGTCAACGTTGTCCAAACATTATTTGAACAACTCTGGCATTACACCAAAAAGACCCTCACCCACTACG